CGTACACTTGCAATGAGCTAGCCAAACTCAAGGTTGAGAGCACAGTCCTCCAAAAGATTGCCCTCACTTCAGATACCAGCTGCAAGTTCAGGGGTCCCCAGCTCAGGTTTTATAATTTGCTAGGATGACTCTCACAACTTAAAAAAGCACTTCACTGGACTTCCCTGGTGGTCAGGTCGTTAAGACTCCGTTCTCCAATGCAGGAGGCTCGGGTTTGATCCCTGGTCAGGGAACTAAGAGCCCACATGCTGCAACTAAAAGATCCCGCCTGCTCCAACTAAGACCTGGCTCAGCTAAATAAATAAATATTAAAAAGAAAGAAAGAGGGGCTTCCCTGGTGGCGCAGTGGTTGAGAGTCCGCCTGCCAATGCGGGGAACACGGGTTCGTGCCCCGGTCTGGGAGGGTCCCACATGCCGCGGAGTGGCTGGGCCCGTGAGCCATGGCCGCCGAGCCTGCGCGTCTGGAGCCTGTGCTCCGCAACAGGAGAGGCTGCAACAGTGAGAGGCCCGCGTACCACAAAAAAAAAAAAGCCAATATCATAAAATTTAAGAGAGACAGAGAAACTGTTCCACATTAAAAGAGACATAACAAATGAATATAACACATGATCCAAGATCTTTTTTTTCTGTAAAGGACATTAATTGGGACAACTAAATCTGGTAAGGTCTGTAGGTTAGATAATAGTATATCAATGTTAATTTTCTGATTTTGATAATCTCTTTTTACAAAATACTCACTGAAAATGATTTGGGAAGAAAAAGTAGAGGACTTCCCTGGCAGTCCAGTGGCTAAGAATCCATGCTTCCACTGCAGGGGCACAAAATACCTGAATTTTATCCCTAACATCCCTAATGTTTCCTAAAAAATAAAAACCTGCTAATATTATTAACTGTAGATGGAGGACAGCAGTTACTTGTGTTTAGTATTGTGTGATGAAATATTTGGCTTGATCCTGGGAGGTAACCTTTAAACCACTGCAATTTCCCAAGTGATAGGAGTGTCTTTGTTATTCATGGTGGGTCCCTCAGACCACATTTGATAGTTTATGCTAATGAGGTGCTCAAGGTGGGCCCCTAGATAGTTTATGCTAACAAGATGACTCAGGATGGGAACAGGTCACTCCAGAAAGACGAATCATATGATTACAGGGTTGAGGCTTTGAGCTACATGATGTCAGCCCATTCTCCTAGGAGGGCACGGGAGGTGGATATTGAGTTAGGTGGGGAATGATTTAATCAACCATGCCTCCACAATAAAATCCCAATAAAAACTCTGGACACCAAAGCTTGACTGAGCTTTCCTGGTTCGTAATACTCTGAGTACTGTCATGCCAAAAGGCCTTGCAGCCCTGAGATGTATGCTTTGTCTTTGGAATCCTCCCAGATCTCACACTATGAGTTCCTCCCTTTGGCAGGTTCTGATTTATATATCCTTCTGCTATAATAAAACTGTAATCATAAGTGAAGTGCTTTCTTTCTTTCTTTTTTTTCTTTTTGCGGTACGCGGGCAATGTCCATTTTGTTGCTCATTTCAAAAAACCAACGTAGTTTGGTTGATTTTTTTCTTTTTTCTTTCTATAAAATAAATTTATTTATTATTTAATTTTGGCTGTGTTGGGCCTTTGTTGCTGTGCGCGGGCTTTCTCTAGTTGTGGCGAGTGGGGGCTACTCTTCGTTGTGGTGCCCAGGCCTCTTATTGCAGTGGCTTCTCTTGTTGTAGAGCACAGGCTCTAGGCACGCAGGCTTCAGTAGTTGTGGTGTGTGGGCTCGGTAGTTGTGGCTTGTGGGCTCTAGAGCGCAGGCTCAGTAGTTATGGTGCAAGGGCTTAGTTGCTCCATGGCATGTGGGACCTTCCCGGACCAGGGCTCGAACCCATGTCCCCTGCACTGGCAGGCAGATTCTTAACCACTGCACCACCAGGGAAGCCCATGTTTCACTGATTTTTTGTAATGATGTGCTTTGATTCCTTTCTCGTTTTCTTTAGTGTATCTTCTATGAGTATTTTCTTTGTAGTTATCCTGGGGCTTACATAAAACATCTTGTAGTTATAACAATCTATTTTAAGCTGACAACAACTTAGCATCAATTGAATACATATACTTTACAGTTTTACTTCTTCCTCCTCCACACTTATTATTGATGTCACAAATTACATAGTTTTTATATTGTGTATTCACTGACATATTTTTATAGTTATATTTTTTACACTTTTGTCTTTTAATTTCTACACCAAAATTAAAAGTGATTTATGCACCACTGTTAAAGTATTAGAGTATTTATTTGCCTATATATTTACTTTTACCAGTGAGCTTTATATTTTCACATACTTTCATGTTGTGTTTAGTGTCTTGTTATTTTAACTTGAAGAACAACTTCTAGCATTTCTTAGAAGGCAGGTTTAGTGGTGATGAACTCCCTCAGCTATTGTTTATGTAGGAATGTCTTTATTTTTTTCTCATGTTTAAAGGACAATTTTGCTGAATATTGTATTTTTGGTTGGTAGGTTTTTTTCTTTAATCACTTTGAATATATCATCTCACTCCTTTCTGGTCTGTAAGATTTCTCATTAGAAATACACTGTTAGTCTTATGTGAGTTCCATTGTACATGACAAGTCACTTTTCTCTTGCTGTTTTTGAAATTCTCAGTCTTTGACTTGTGACAATTTGATTGTAATGAGTTTCAGTGTGATTCCTTGGGTTCATCCTCTTTGGAGTTCCTTAGGCTTCTTGAATCTGAAAGTCCATTTCCTTCCCCAAATTTGGGGAATTTTTGGCCATTATTTCTTTAAACATTCTGCCCCTTTTCCTCTTGTAAGTCTCTTAGAATTTCTTCACTCTCATTCTTTTTTCCTTTTGTTCTTCTGATTGGGGTATTTCAAACGACCTGTCTTCAAGTTTGATGTTTCTTTCTTCTGCTTAAGTGTGATATTGAATTCCTCTCATGAACTTTTCAGTTATTATATTCTTCAGTTCCAAATGTGTTTAGTTATTTTTGAAATTTTCTGTCTCTGTAGGTTTTCTAATTTTGTTCATGCCTCATTTGCTTGAGCCTGTAGAGCATCTTTATGATGGATATTTTGAATTGTTTGTCAGATAATTCATATACTCTATCTCATGAGGATAATTTTCTGAAGATCTCTTTTTTTTTTTTTTTTTTTGGTCTGAGCCAGGTTTCCGTTTCTTCATGTTTCATAATTTTGTGTTGGGATCTGCACATACGGGAAAACAGCCCCCTTTCCAGATCTTTATGGCCTTGCTTCATACAGGGGAAGACCCTCACACATGAGCCCAGCAAAAGATCCGGGGGGCCTCTGAAGCCTTTTCTGGTGGGATGTGACTTCTCTGGGCTTGTGTGTGCAGTTTCTCAATTAGAGAAGCTTGATGGTTTTTTAGGAGCTCATAATCTTTTGCTCCCTCTGGTGCCTGTTTGTGGCACTGCAGGTTCTCTCGTGCTACAGCAGCAGGGTGCCTTTGCTCTCTCTTGGAATCAGGGGCCACCAGGCATCCAGGGTATGCTGGCTGCCCATGAGGTGAGACAGATACCATTCCTTTGAGCAGCTCTGTGGAAAGCTAGCACCACACCAGAAGCAAGTCTTCCTCTTCTCCTTCCCTCCCATGCCAATTGCACTGCCTGCAGGGTGCCACCCCTCACTTTTCTTTGGTCTTTGCAGCGTTCAGGCATCCATGCTATGCCAGTTCTGTCAGTGCTCCAGATGAGTCATGTCAGAAACCCATCCTTCAGGCCACCTTCCAAAGAGCTAGAATGCTGGAGGCACACTCCACTCCTGTGATTCCTTTCTGAAGGAAAAGTCAGGAGTTGGGCTGTTCTTACCTGGCGCCAAACTGCGAGGGGTTGATGTGGGGCAAGTGAAATTGCTCTTCTTATCCATTTCAGTGCAGCTGTTTTCAGCTTTGTGCCCCTTTGGGACTTTTTAACTGGATTCTGGAAATGTCATAAAGGTATTTTGGTCTGTATATCGTTTTGAAAGTGGTATTTCTGTGGTAGAAGGAGTCCTAGGACGTACAGTTCTGCTGTCTTTGCTGACATCGTTCTCCTCGTCCCTGTACTTCTTTATGCAGCTGGTTTAGAAGTGAAATGACTTAAGAAACCCACCCACATGTTTGCTATGAACCTGTATGTTTGCCACTTTACAAAGAAAAACATTTTGAGGCCACGCTGAGTATAAATAATCTCATCTTCCCTTGATAAATCTACATTCTGCTCCCGGTTAATTTTTCTTTTCCTGTCCTTGCAAAGTCTGGCTGTCTGGAATGCAGGGAGAGATGACCCTGGTAATAGGGATGTAGATTGACCTTGATATCTAAGTTTCCCATTTCTAGAGTACATGATGATGTATTATTTGAGACTAAAACACAAAAGGAAATGCTTAAACTTTCTATGTATGACGTTCTGCAACCAAAATATGTCCATAACTATATTATCCTCTTTTTAAAAAGATGATAATGTTTGTTTTTAAATTCTTGATAAAGAGTAATCTAATCATTGCATAGACTCTCATATCGAAGGTTTAGGTGATGGCAGTAATGGTCACATTCATTATAATGGCAAATATGACACATTTTCTACACATCTAGAGCCAGAATATAGAATAGAAATGTGCTGTCATAGTTATAAATAGTTAACGTAGACTCTGCAGTCAGAATACCTGAGTTCGTGTCCTAGTTCCACCGCTCAGCAAGGTGATCAGCATCAGTTTATTTAACCTTATTTTTTCTTTTGTGCCTCAGTTTCCTCATGTATAAACTGGGTATGATACTAATAGCAGCTACATCATGGGTTGTTATGTGAATTGAATGAGATGATTTATAGATAGATAAATAGACACAAAGTTTTTAGAACAGTGCCTGGAATTTAGGAAGTCCTGCCTGAATCATTGCTAGCTATTCTTAAGAGTAATTGTGATGAGATGGCTCTTTTTAAGCATTAGATATCACGTTAAGTAAAAAAGATTAAATGACCTTTCTACCTCATTGACAGAGTTGAAACTGTGGGACAGCCAGACAGAAGAGACAGTATAGGAGTGTGTGCAGAAAAACAGAACGGATATGACTCCCTGCAGCGGGATCAAGCAGTTTGCATTAGTACAAATGGTAAGAGGGAAATTACTGCCGTTCTCTTTGAAATCTATGATTCACTGTAGTAAGATTTGAATCAGTTTCAATATCACACATTTATAGCAGAAGATGAAAAAGTTTAGGTCTTAATGGCATATCTTTGTGGCTGCTATGTACCAGGCATTATTCTATACCCTTTAAAAATAATACACTATTTAATCCTTTTAACAGCTTTTTGAAGTGAGGAGTAGTATTATATCCATGTTGTAGTTGATAAAAACAGCCACAGAGAGGTGAGGTAGCTGGCTTAACCTCACGTAGCTTGGAGGTGATTGAGCTGGGATTTTCACCAGGCGGTTTACCCCTGGATTCGGTGTGCCTGGGTGATCTGAATTCAACATAGATTAGACAACATAAATTCGGCATGGATTAGGGAAACGGGGAGAGAGTTTTCATCTGTAGTATTCTTTGGTCCCTTACTTTGCAGTAATCACACTTTTAAAAATCACTACCAAGATGTATTAATATTTTACTGTGTGGGTCAAACAGTAGGTAGCACAAGATTCTTGTTTATTCCATGTGAAACAATCTTGTTCCACAGGATGTAATTTTATAAAGGAGTCAAGTTTTCTTTTGACGCCATCCATATGGGAAACTCATGGTCTGTATTTCGAAAGAGTGGAACCCTGGACCAGAACTCTGAAATGTTATTAAAGCTTTAACTTCTTCTTCTGCCTTGGGGATGGGGGTTAATTAACATATTTAACTGCATTTATCTTTGACCAGTTGGCGTTCCAAAATGTTTTCTTTATCTGAATTAGGAAATTAGCTGTATCACCAGTAATCTAGAATCTTGTTTCCGTTCTTAGTTACTGCTCACATATGAATGACTCTTTACCTTAACATTTTAGGTGCAGTTTTTGTAAATGGAAAAGAAATGACTAATCAGTTGCCCGCAGTTACTTCTGGGTCCACTGTCACATTTGACATTGAAGCTGTGACTCTAGGATCCAGCAATAATAACGAAGGCGGAAACATCAAGCTTCGAGTAACTATTAGCTCAAATAACAGAGAAGTGGTGTTTGATTGGTTGCTCGATCAGTCTTGTGGTTCTCTTTACTTTGGATGCTCGTTTTTCTATCCTGGGTGGAAAGTGCTGGTATTCTAGATTTTCAGATGATTGGCTTTGGGTTTGCAGGGGTTTCACATAGCTTTCCTCAGCCCAGTTCAGTTGTGATTGGTTTAAAAAATGGTTAGATTCATCTCTCAGTTAAGTCATTGGAAACAGAAATTATTTACTGGATTTATTTTCCAATATCTTAGCAATAAGAGGCGTGAATATTGTGGACAAAACCGTAATGCAGTCCATTTTATTTGAGCATAGTGTTAATTGGAATATCACATCACAATAAAAATCAATTGGCTTTTAAAAGTATGAGGCGATATAGACAGCCCTATGTACCTTTCCACTGTACTTTTTTTTTAAGTTGGCTGTAAGAACACAAAAGTGTAACGTAACATTTGTTTTTTATGAAATCTTTATCTTTTAACGATCCAAGGCCATCCAAGACTTTAGAATGAATAGGCAAGAATAGACCAGGTAGAATGTGCCACCGTGTATGCTGTAATATACACTCTCTTGTGTGTTCTCCACAGGAGTGTTGAATATGCTCTTTATATTCAGGGATTTGTAAGCAGTATTGAATTTTATCTCATGTTCAGTAATCTTTAAGTCCCAAAAGCATGATAATTTTTGCATTTTAAAAAATTACTGGGCTTCCCTGGTGGCGCAGTGGTTGAGAGTCCGCCTGCCAATGCAGGGGACGCGGGTTCGTGCCCCGGTCCGGGAAGATCCCACATGCTGTGGAGCAGCTGGGCCCGTGAGCCATGGCCGCTGAGCCTGCGTGTCCGGAGCCTGTGCTCCGCAACGGGAGAGGCCACGACAGTGAGAGGCCCGCGTACCGCAAAAAAAAAAAAAAAAAATTAATGAGCAAATGTCTACAACAGGCAAGGTGTTTTCTTTTGTTCTTTCCTTGCAGTTCAATTCATGATAGGCTAGAGGGTTTTTACAGGGTAAAACTACTTATGGAAGTAGTATGCACAGCAGTGTTAGTAGCCATGTCCCATGTTTGAAATATGCACAGGTGCATATCCAGCCTCAGTGACGTGCATGTTGTTCTTCCTAGGGTCTGAGCTGCAGTCCAGTTTCATGTCAGTTTCATAAATGGTCTTTTAGTGGACCAAACAAATGTAGGGTAAATACTTGACCTATTTTTTGGAAAACTTAAATTTGTTTAAAATATTTATTTGAAGGACTTAGGATGTAAAAATGATTATCTTGCTATATAACAGCTTAAGATCTTTTTTCTTTAATGTGAATTTCTTTTTTTCATTTTTAACAGAAAAGTGGAAAAGCAAGTTTGATATTTTTGTGAGATAATTTATTTGGGGATTCCAGTTCCCTACTAGACAATCATGACCTTTTCCCCTTGCCTTTTTATATTATAAGTAAGCTGTTTTTCACTTGCTTAGTGACTGTTAAGAAGATGTGCTAGAATGTAGATGCCTCGTCCAACTGTCTGAAACAAAATAAAAAACTAAAAGGTATATGTGTGTATTTTTTTCTTTCATGAGATTTAATTAATTCAGATTTAATTTTTTAAGTAGAGGGAGAAAAGTCATCTTCACTTTTAAGTGGGAGGATCCATATATATATAAAATGAATAAGTTATATATACATATAAAGCATATATATTGGCAAGACTGTACTCCCTCCAAAGGGTCTAGGGGAGAATCCTTGTCTCTGGAAGCTTCTGGTGGCCACAGGCATTCCTTGACTTGTTGCTGCATAACTCCAGTCTCTGTCTTCCCATGGCCTTTGGGCTTTGTTTTTAGCTGGGCCGCGGCAGTCCTAACTAACCCCCGGACCACCGGGGTATTCCCTCCTTTGGTCTCTTAAAAGGACATTTCTCTTGGACTTAGGACCCAGTCAGATAATTCAGGATGATCTTAAGGTCCTCAGTTTATATCTTCAAAGACCCTTTTTCCAAATACAATCACTATCACAGGTTCTGGTGTGGACATGTCTTTTTGTGGGCCACCACCATTCAACCCTGACGATGGTGTTTGGCTGGAGTGGAGTGGTGGTTGGCTGTAAGTTTCTGTCTTGCTAGGCTGCCACTTTCCTGGTCCTTTGGCTATAGAGAGCAGGCTTTTGTTGGGGTTTTGTCTGTGCCTGTTGGTATTTCCATGTTTCTGGCTTCTTCAGCCCCAAGTCTGAGATACATAAGACAAGAGAACCCTAGGAACGCACGGTACTGAGTTCCTTGAGTTTTGAGGTCCCTCGGCCATCTGTCAGAATCTTATGTTTGTTTTATATTTTTTCCAGGGTTTTTAGTTGTACTTAGCAGGAGGAATAGGGAAATTATGCTATTCCATCTTCTCAGAAGCATAAATTCTGAAGCTATATAATAGATTTTAATATCAAAACAAAAATAGAAGTAGAGATGAAAGGTAAATACATCTCTTATGAGGGGTTTTCCTGCAGAGGGAGCAGAGTAAGCATCTAGCTCCTGTGTTAAATATGAAGGATTTAGTTCAAGAAGTGAGATTTATACAATTATTGAGAACTATTGTGACAACTGTGATTGACCGTCACACACTCATTTAGGTATCTCCTAAGCTGGTTCAGAACTTTCCATACGTATGTAAATCAACCAGTGTCAGAATGGATAGTTTGCTTCGCTCAGATCTACTGCTGCATTACTTGTTTCCTGTGTCCCACGTCTTCCTCCTTCTTGGATTATTCCTTTATTTTAGTGGAGCACTTCCTCCATTTCCTGAGAAGGGGTGCCCAAGAGGTAAATATTTTGAAAGGTAGAGGTCTGAAAATCTCTTTATCCTACATTTGACTGTGACTCATTAAGAATTTTAGGTTGGAGATCATTTCCCCTCAGAATTTGAATGCATTGCTCTGTTGTCACCTAGGATACAACCAAAAGTTGATGCCGTTCTGGTGCCCATTCGTTTGTAGGTTGTATGTTTTTTCTCTTTGGAAGACTGTGGTATCTTCTCTTTATTCTGTCGTCCTAGGTTGGTATAACACTCAGCTACATAGCTCATTTAACTGCTGACCCTATGGGTAGATGAATTTCTGACACTTGCTTTAAACCCACTAGATTATAAATTCCTTGAGCTTTTGTATCTTCTGTAGCAATTATTCTCAATCCTGCTTGCACATTAGAATTTCCTGGAGAGCTTTTAAAAATAGCAAAAATTCTGATTTAATTGGTACTAGTGGCGCTCACTTTTTTTTTTTTTTAAAGAAATGAAATTATTCTGTTATGAAGGCAGATTTGGGAGTAACTGCTCCAAAGTAACCAAAAGTCCAGTCTCCGTAGTAATTTTTTTTGTAAATCTAAATTTTCTTTGAAAGACTGTCTTTTATTCTGAAATTATCCTTCTTGCTCTTTTTGTACTGTGTCCTTCTATAACATGAAAGTGACAGTAGATGTCAGGTTTGCTTGTTTTGTTCATAAATCTTATCTGACAAAAAGTCAAAAAAATTTTGAATGTATATTACTGGTCTCTGGAATCCAGGTCTGGGATCTACTTACTACCCTGCATTTCCTGATAATATGGGAAATATGATACATTTCCCATATATATGATAAATACTTTTGAACTAAGACCAGTACTTTCTTTTTAAAAAACAAAAACCATATTCAGCAAAATAAAACTAATCTCTCACAAAAGCCTCTCTCTCACGGAATTTCATGTTGATTAAATGAAAAGTGACCTTTCTATGTCACTTCTATTCATTAGTCTTACATAAGGCAATGTTAGAAAACTTGCAGTTTTGTAGAGAATTAGACTTTGTTAATGTAATCTCATGAGACTTCTCCATGTTCTTAAAACAGCTTGTGGAAGAGGGAGCAAGCATATGGTTTTTCTTTAGCGGTGAGAGCTGAGGACTGAAGCTGGCAAAACCGTGTGGCCATCGGGAAAGGAAACAGTGATGCTAACCAAGAGCAGGTTACTGTGCTAGATCCCTTGTTGAAGGGGGCATTTTAATCCCATTTTACAGTTGAAGAAACAAACTCAGTGTCGTTAGGTAACTATGAGTTTTGAAGCTGCAAAGGCACCAAAGTTGGCATTCAAATCCAAGGCTATCGACTATCAGTTCTTCTACCACGATACCCTCTGTCCACACTACCCGATGTCTCAGGGCACCGACTTGAGATTAGACACTTGGAAATACGGCTTACTAAAACATGAGTGAATGTCTCCCTCTCTGGAATTTAAGATTCATGAGGACAGGAACAATGTCTGGCTTATTCATCTTTTTATCCTCATGCTTAGCTTAAGGCAAAGGCCATAGTAGGCACCCAGGAAGTATTTAACGAATAAGTAAGGCTCCTTAAGGCTAATTACCCACATGGCAACCTTGGTCCTTTCCCTA